CAGGCAGGCAGGCAGGCAGATAGATACATAGATACTGTAGACAGCTAGTTGGCTAGGTCGCTGATAGGCAGCTCGCAGCTAGATGTCGACACAGCGGAGACATGATGCATGATAATCATCTTCTTGTCTCAGCACCCGGCCACGACAGGAGCCTTGGCCACGACAAAAACAACTTGCGAAAAGCTTTCCCTTTAGCTCCGAGACTCCAAGACTCTAAGCCTGGCACATTCGATGCTTCACTGATTGAGGCCTCTGTCTAGGGCCCACACCGACCACGCCACCGCAGAGCTGCCGGATTTTAGTGGGTCGGCCTCGCGAACCTGAGCCAAACCAGGCTTTACGGCGAGTTCGGGGACAAGGATGCGAGAGATGAAGCTCTCAAGCGGCAACCCAAACACGGAAAGAGCCAACTCCCGCTTCTTTAGCGTGCTCTCCAAGAGGCGGTGTTTCCAGTGGACTTGGACACCACCACTGTCTTTGTGTCCTCAACCTCACAGCGAGACTTTGTTTCACATAAATAAAAAGTTTAAAAACAAAAAAACGCCTTGCTTCGGCAGAGGATTGCGAGGTCGGCCTTGACACTGTACTTTGCGGCGTTGTTTCTCAAGAGGCTCTTCTCGTGGACTTCGGCCACCTGGAGCAAATCTTGGCCGTGCCCACTATCCATGCTAGGGCTCAGGAAAGGCCTCTTGAGGATCCAAATGCTCCATCTTGTCCATGACTTCGTCAACCGTCTTGCCACTCATCTGTGGGACAATCTCATAGCTAACGTTGACGCGACCTTCGCTTGCAAATATCTGGCCGAAAACTCTGCTCTGCATAACAGGGAAGCATCCTTGTGCCGTCGAGATGCCACTGGGAGTCTCTCTCCGACGAGCCTTCCCTCCGTGAGATTGCAGGAGAACCGCAGGGGCCTGGCAAGTTGCAGTGTTCGTCGGCAAACGGCGATTCGCCCGCCCCTCCCTGCCTGCGGCTCCACGGTTTCGCCCTTGATGATTACGGCATCAACAGAGACGCCGACCTCGAGAACAACTGACTTCGGCAAATTCAGTCTGTCGCCGATGGCCCTTTCGTTACACCTTCTGCCATCACCCACAAGTACTCCGCATGTGTGCCACCCCTGCTGCTGAGCTGGGCCTCCTGGGCGATGGCCTCCTTCAAGGCCTCCTTCGCTGCCGGGTCCTGGACTTGGCCCATGAGCTGCTGCTGCTTCCTTTTAACTCGCCACGACAGCAGGCCGACGTCCGCAACTCCGACTCTTCACTCTTCCGACCCAAAGAGCAAAAGAGAACTCACCCGAGAGCCCTTTGGAATCTCAGCCGATTATCCGGTTTTTTGCCAAACCCAAAAAGACAAGCGCGTCCTTCACGAACTTCTCCGGATCCGCCACCTCCTGGGAAACGGGCGAACGCACACTCTCACGCCAAGTCAGCCATGCTCACGCCCTCTCACGGCTCCCAGCAAACTTCGCTCTCAGGACTGTGGAAACGCCGAGCTCACCCAAAACATGCCTTGCTAAACTTCGTGCCGGCTCAAGTGGCCAACTCTTCACTTCCCTGGACGGCCTCCTGGAGCTGCTGGCGGTGCATTTGGCTGAGGGAATCACTGTTGGGCGTAGGAGGTTTGTAGACGTTCTTCCATGGTTTTGCAAGGGCGGCACCGACTAGCTTCTTGCTGCCACACCGTCTCCACGGGAATATGTCCAACAAATTCATAGCTACTTCTGTCAGCTGAGCCTTGTGTTAGTCGCACCTTGCCGCCCTTGCAGCGACTCTCCGGTCCTCCGATTTTGCAGCAACCGCCGCAGCAGCCGACTCCGGGTTCAGCCCCACCGTCGTGACAACGATGGGTGCGGCCGTGGTGGTGCCTGGGTTGGCGGGTCTTCCGGTCTTGTAGCTGGCATGGCAAAGAACCAGTTGTCTTTACCGCCTCAGCCACCGGCCACCTTTCAAGCATGTCCCAAACCTTCAATCCTAAAACTTCCCAAGGCATGCGAAGCATCCATCTTTAGCTCAAGTCACTTGGAGTGGTGGTAGTGTTTGTGATGGTTTGAGTGGTCGTGCTTGTTGCAGTGACTGTCGTGGTCGTATTGGTCCGCGTGGTAGTTGTCAGCGTAGTTGTGGTGGTAAATGTCGTTGAGGTCGATGTGACGGGCTTGCCGTTCTCGTCGCACTCAATGACTCTTCCGCCCTCGGCACAGAAAGTGATGAAGGGCACACATGAGATCATCTTCTACTCCTTGCTGCAACCGAGAAGTTGGAACATGTCCAAGCCGCCGGAACCGTGCACTCTTCCACCTGCCCATGCAGACGGGATGAACATCGCGTCAACCCTTTCACCAAAGATCCGAGTCCTCGCCTCTGTGGCATTGCCCTCGCAAGGCTTGCCGCCATAGCGTGCCGCCAGCTTCGTCCTGGCAAATACTCGCGTGGCCTTTGAGAGAGAGAGCGAAGACCTCGGCAGCTCCTCGCTCGCAGCTTCTTGGCAGGCCCACAAGGCATGGGCTCACAAGCACCCCAGTCCTGAGAGAGCAAGGGCTCGAAACTAGCTTCGAATCTCTTGTGGCCAAGTGCTCGTTGGTTACGAATTGCGCTGGCTGCCTCCCTCACCCGAAGGACGATTCTGCGCAGCTCAAAACTTGAAGAGAGGATCCTTCCAGTCGTTGAAGGCACAGTCGACCGGGCATGCATTGCCAGGGTTGCAATACTCGTCCTCCTGAGCGCAAGTAGCAGAATTCATGCAGGAGCCGAAGAACAAGCTGGCAGAGGGAGCACTACATTCACTACATGGCCTCGGTGTCTCGCCTTGGAGCCCACAGAAGAAGTCACACCCGGATCCTGTATAGATGGCATCTGGAAAGGGCTAGCCAAAGACTCGTCTTTCAGGTCCCTCAAAAACACAATCCACCCAGAACGCGACTTCGCGTTGGTTGAAAAATAAAGACCAACAGCATCGGCGCAGCCCCGGAGCCCAAACGAACCCCCGGAGCTGGCCTGGGGTTGGCCATGACAAGCCTGGCCATGTGGTCCACGGGCCTCGTCAGCTACGAAGCGAAACCTCCGGGGAAGGAACGGCGAGGTTTGGAGTGGCTGGTTCAAACTCCGGACCCGGAGGGACGGCGGGGAGTTTTTGAGCTCCGGCTTGGGATGTCAGGCATCGGGCTTCAGGGGTCGATGAAGAGATGTGATGATTTTAGCTCACAGCTGCTAGCTATTCCCCACTGATGTTGTAGTTTGCAGTGTTTGATGTCACGGTGCAGATTCACAAAGCAAGTTCAAAGTACAGTGATGTCCACCTAGACCGGGGCTCGGGCATTTACCAGGATTGGGCGGGAACTGCTAGGTTGCTTTAAGTCTTTAAGTTTTCCGTGAAGATCAAACGAAGCTGTCGTTGGGAGTCTCTCAAGATTAGGGCTTAGGGGCGCTTTGGGCGCGGGCACTTGCGGGCTGGAGGTGTGAGTTTTGCAGCCGCATCTAGAAAGTTGTGCCATAGAGGTGCCGGATGTGTGTGGAACACTGTCCATGTAACTAAACAAAGACTTAATCAGGATTAGAATCGGGCCTGACTCGACTCCCCTCTCCGCAGGATGCCGAACAGGCAGTCCACTCGTTCCAGTCCTCCCAGGTGCAGTTCACGGAGCAGCCGCCCAGCACGGTACAGGCCGAGGTCTCCGTGGAGTCCCCCACGCAATCCTCTCCGCCATGTGCGGGTGGAATCTTTCCACGTGACCTTTGCCTCGTCCCATTGCTACCACAGGGCATCACGCATTCCGTCCATGCAGTCCAGGGTTCCCATTCGCAGTTTACGGGACAAAGAACCTCGTTGCAGCGGGTAGTGTGAACCGTCTTGCCCTCACAGGCCTTCCCTCCAAAGGCCGCAGTGATGGCTTGCACCCGATGGCGCGTAGTGATACCGGCGTTCAGACCCAAGCCGCAGGTTTTGCTACAGTTGGTCCAGGTGCCCCAGTCGCCCCAAGCACAGTCCCGAGGGCAGCCGGAAGTGCCACACTCAACGGTTTCCTGGAGCGGTACCGCGGGGTCACAGGACGCACCGCCGTTGATCTCAGCATCCACCTTCCGGGACCGAGTCCTGTTGCCACCAGCCCCACAGGTGACAGAACAGGTGCTCCATTCGTCCCAATCCAAAAACTCGCAATCCTTGGGGCAGGCATCCTGCAGGGACAATGAAAAACTCACGGAGCTGGATTTCAAGCTAGTTGTTTCAACCGGCTCCTCGTTGCAAGACCGCTCATCGTGGGCCGAACCGGTGCAGTTGGTGCCCTGACGGGGCGCAGGTGTGCCGTCTGTGCATGTCTGCGCTCGAGAGCAAGCAGGAGGACACTCACCTAAAGGAGTCGCGCCTCTCCCATCACATCTTGCTTTATGTATCGGTAGCGCGACTGCTTCCCGCCGCCGCAGAGCTTGGTGCAGTTGCCCCAGGCTTCCCACTCTGACCAGAGGCAGTCCTGCCAGGGGGAATTCTGGAGGATGTATTTTTTGCCGTGAGTGCCAGAAAGCTCCTGCGGACACACCAGCTCTGCGCAAGAGCCTTGCTCGAGGGCTTCCCCTGAGCAGGGGTCATCTTGCGCTATTCCCGCTCAACCTGCGCCGAACGAAACCGGAGCCTTCGCAGGGCACACCACCAAACTTTTCTTCGATCTTGCCTGTGCAGCGGGATCTGAAGGGCCGAGCAAAGGTCATGCCTTTCGGTGGCCTCGGGTTCGATTCTGAATGGCACCGCCACAAGTCGCTGGGCAGCCGTTCCATGGAGCCCAATCTTGCCATGCACAATCCTGGGAGAAGTCAACATGTCATAACATGTCGCTGTGGAGAGATTCCTGGTCTCAAGTTCAGCCAAGGGTCAACAGGGCATTCAGTCGCATTGCAGCCCTCTTTCCTGAGATCCAGCAGGCGTGAATTTTTGGGAACCCCCTCGTCAGAGTGGCGAGCAGGCATCAACATGTGGTCAAGGCAGGGTTATGCAAAACTGCAGCCCGAGGCTCTCGTCCAGCAAGTCCGCTGGGCAAGGGGCACCCTGGCCTGCAGCAAGCGACAGGGCGACACCCCTTTCAGGTGCGGAACTTACTCGGCTTCACAGGCCGAAGGCGGGGCGGAGGCCTTCGGGCTCGACCAAGACCACCCGCTTCCTCGCTTCACGGCGAACATGACTGATTCATAGATTGACTGCCTGTGGGTGCGAATACCCTTGCGATTGCAAGGCAAAGGCTGCTCTGTTGCTGTGCAACAATGGCGGCGAAGAGGTCCCACTTCTGCTTCACCAAATGCTACATGCTCATTACCCGAAGCAGTGATTTCCCTGTCCTCGACTGCTGGCCGCTCCCGCAGCTCACCGAGCAGGGGGACCAAGCCTTGCAAGCAGCTAGCAGCGGCTAGCAGCGGCTACCAGTAGCAAGAATCGCTGCTTCGGACCCCACGAGGTTTGGGGCCGCCTGCCCGAAAATGGCAGCCCCGTGGCACAAACCATCGGTCATGCGCCGCAGGTGACAGGCACCGACACGAAGCGACGACGGCCGACTTAGAACTTCGGCTGAGTCTACAAGTACAATCAGTCACTCCCTTCCGCGGCCTCTGAGCATCCTCTACGACTACCACTTATTACACCTTTGCTACCGCTATACTTGCGGGGGTATATACATTCCATGCATCCGAACAGGAAGAAGAGGTCTTGCACAATTATTCTGGACGTCTGCAGCGATGCGTCAAATCTTCTGCCTAATGCTGTTATCTATATGTATCGACAAGGTGATTACCATTCTACAATAGCTGCAAAGAAACTCGAAAGAAGTGGCCACCCTCACTTTGTTGCGAAATCCGAAAGATCGCCCGGGGCCCCTGCCGACCAGTCGGAAACCTGACAATCCACGCAGGCGTTGCCTCGGCAAGGTGCCAGGTGCCAGGCAACTAACGGATGGCCACGCCTTTCAAGTGAGGGGCGGCCTGGTGCCTGCGCCTCTGAGAGCCCAGCTGCAGTTCACGACCAGGGACGTTTCGCCGCAAGCTTTTCCACCATTTGCGGGGTCAACAAGAATGCCTGGCAGAGCTCCAGGAATGGAGAGAGCCACCAGGTGGCATTTTGTTGCAGTGTGACATCCGAGGAGCTGCGAGTTCTGGACTGACTCCCCTTGCAGTACGGAGTGCAGCTTGTCCAGTCCGTCCAGTCCTTTATCTTGCTCGCTACGACGGCTCCATGCCCTACGTTGCACTGCTCTGTTGACGGAGTCCTCCATGCTGCAGTCCACCGGACATGCGAGTTCTCCACAGCCACGCACCTCCGAAGAGTTGCCTTCCAAATCACGACAACCGCACTGCACAGGACACGTCGCTCTTCAGCAACAACATCCACGGGGCCCGGCCGGCCTTGGCAGGGCTTTCCCCTACCCGCTTGCTGCACCAACACGTTGCGGCTGCGTTTCTGCTTCGCTCCACCACAACTCACCTGCAAGGAAACAGTTGTTCAAAACAAAAGACGGAAACAAACCTAGGTCCTGCGTAGATTTCAGCCGAGTCACAGGGCAGTTTGACCAGGCCACCCAACTCCCCCACTCGCCTGGAAGCGTGAGGAAGCTCACGGCTGGTCACTGAAAGCCGAAACCTTCGTGGTCAAGAAAGATGGAAGCATGGTCTCGGTGTTGCAGGTGAGCCGCAATCCACACAGACATTCGTGCAGTTCTGCACCTGCGAACACATGGACCAGCTGTCATCAAAAGCCCTGCCCATCCGCTGTCCGAATCTAGAAGTCATGGTGGCACCTCGGCAACGCTACCACAGGCCACACCCCCGTTCGCGGGCTCCCGAGTGGTGGTGCGCGTCCTGCGCATCGATAAATGAAGCGGGAAACATCGCAAGCAGCAAGCATTGCGGATGCCTTCAGGCTGACCGCATGTTACAGACCCGGCCTCTTCGAGGTTCCGGAGCACCATGGGGAGCACTCTGTCCAATCCTTCAAGATTTTCTTGTATTGTCTCGACAGGGAGGTGCAGCCCCCACTCCGCAGGCTTGCCGCCGAGATTCCGTCCACTCGGACTGGCGGCAGTCTACTGGACAAGCTTGTGTGCTGCACTCCTGTAGGAGAAACGCGATCACGCCATGCTTCCGAATTGGGACTTGCTTGGCATTGGTTGGCCAACGGTCCGGCATGCTTGCACAGGACAAGTCGATATAAGTCGATCGGATTAATCCTCCTTTTCGCTGATCTCGCCGGTGCAAGGCACACCCTCGCCAATCTCCTCACAGTGCGTCCGTGCTCTAGATGTCATCCGAGACCAGCGTGCCGTTTTACGAAGGAGGCTCTACAGGTGGCAACCATGACGACATCGACATCACTGACTGCATCCTTCTTGACATAGGAGCACGACTTCTCTTCGGGCTCTAGGAGCATGCCGACATCACCTCGTAGCAGCTTCTAAGAGTGCTACCATACTTGACGAAGCAAAAATGTCCGGAACAGCTGTAGGAATCTGGTGCCGAATGTGGAGTGGAGCTAGGCGCAGAGCAGATGGTCAACCTCAGCTTCGGCGCGTGCTGCTCTTGGCTGCAGGGGTTGTTTCTCAGGTGCATTTAATCGAGCAGCCCGTTGTTGCAGCCTTTATCGTAGAGGCCGCCACAGGTCGGATCCACGCTGCAAGCTTCCTTCAGCTTGAAAACCACTCAACATGCAGCTTAAGAGCACATAGCATGCCAAGGCATGTCGTGTATCCGTCATGAGCCTGCGCTTCTTGTGGCGTCTTTCCCGCCCCATCCAGAGTTCGCTGGTGACCTGCATCACACCTTGCAGGATTCCAGAATGCTGCGATCAGGCGCAGCCGCGACGTCTCTCATGCTGTCTTCAAACACTCAGCCCCTGCTCAAAAAAATCTCTGCTCTGAAGACATCCCTGTATTCTGCTGACCTCAGGCCCAGTTTCTTCTCATAGCCAAAGGCCCTGCTGCGGGCACCTTCCAGCGGGTGAAGACCGACGCAGCCCGGAGTCGTTTTCACAGGAATCGTCTTGGTAGGAATGGCCGAAGAACACAAATTCCCCAAATCTGAAGATGCTCTTCAACCGGCTGGGACCATCTTCGTTCAATCAATGACTGAAACCCCGCCTAGCTCCAGCAAAGAGCTGGAAGGATGTTCCCGTGTCACGAAGACCTTGGCCGAATATTCAATGCAGCCCTTGAAGGACAATGGGATCCGAACGATGCAGTTGGCAATGATCCCGATGGCAACGTGATTTGTGCCAGCCGCGCTGCTTCATTTCGCGTCCTGGATCGTGAGCCGCCTGCGCAGCTCCTGGCAATCCAAGGCACGAAGAAGACCAGACCCCTCGCCCCTTGGAGCGCAACTGACACTCTGACCCACCCTTCAAGGTCGGCGCTCCGAGTGCAGATGCTCCATTCGCTCCAATCCGAGAGCTTGCAGTCCATGCAGAAGTTTGTGCAGGACTTCACCTCAGACCTGGGCGAAGCTGCGTCCACAAGATCCCGAAGTCCCTGCGAGTCCATCTCAGGTCCGAGGGGCAGGTTGCCGCAGGCCAGGCCGCCGTTGGCAGCTTGCCGGTGGACGCTGCGGCTTCGGTTCGTTGTGCCATGGCCTGGGCTCTGGAACAAGCGGCTCTGGCGACTACAGCTCTGGGCAAAGGCGCGTGTCTCTTGCACCCAAGGGAGTCGCAGAACGGCGCGCAAGGAGTCCAGGTGGTCCACTCGCTAACCTCCGAAGGTCCGAAGGGTCAGTGAAGGACGCGGGGCCATCCGGCCACAGCTACAGAGCTACAGGTCCTTGCCTCACAGTCCACGGGGCAGGCGGCTTCGCCGCAGTCCTTGGCGTTGGATTGGACCCTGTTAAAAAAGGCCTATAGGAGTACGCCTGCGTGAGTACAGCTGGCCTCGGTCTGAGTGGAGTTGCCGATGCATTCTTGACCATCGCCTTCCGCCTCTCGTCAACCCCCCCACCCACATTCAAGCGAAGATAAGTAAGTCTAGTACTCCGTCACACCCTCAGAAGAAAAGATCCGATGACACATGGTACGAAACGGATTCAAGCAGGCAAGCAGGAGGGAGGCGCCTGAACACAGCACTAGAGCGACTGCGAGCCTGTACTTTCACGGCCCGGCGACGGCTGCGCTTGCCGCCGGAGCATGAGACTGAACAGGGTGACCACGCCTCCCAATCCTGATGACGAACATGACGAGCGCATACGAGCGCCAGCAGGTCCGTTGCAGTGACCATGCACCACTTGCAGACGAAGCGCTGTCCACTGGCAGTCCGCGCAAGGGTCCTCTTGGCATCTGCTCATGGGAACGAAGGTGACATTACCTGCAGAAGCGTTGGGCGCAATATTTCGCCTTGCACATGTGAATACATGTGAGCACTGCCGTTCGCGGAACAGCTGGGGGTACGGCCCGGCTGATGAGCAGTGGCTCCAGCCACCTTGCAAAGAATGGCGAATGAGACTGTTGCACAGGCACGTGCTCTCTACGCCAAATATGCCCTAGGCCCTAGTGACCCTAGTGCATCTTGCTGGAGTTGGCAGCTTTTGGCAGGCCTCACGCTCGAGCAGAGAAGGCGGTGCTAAGCCTCCTTCGACAGTCAACACGGAAATACCAGTCGGCGCAAACGACTCAACGCAATCAAAGATGCCCCGATCCAGCCTTGCTGAAGTCTCCCGTCTGCACCGACCTGCTGCAGAGAAGGTAAACCACTGTTTTCATCTTCCGTCCCGATTCAGATGAACATGTCTCGCCACCGTCATCTCTCAGAGATGAATAGACTCTGATAGACTCTGAATCCTCACCGGGGCCCAAGCTGCCAGCCCTCCCCGCTCGCTGCGTAGGAGCCGAGAGGGGCCGGAAGAAGGAGGCTCCATGCTGCCGTCCTCCCGAGGTTTTATCACAGGGACCTATGACCATGGCAGATGCGGATGTATGATCCAGCCTTGTCAATACTGCTCCCGCGCCTCTTCTCAAAACGATGGTGATAACTACTTTGAATCATGATGCGGAGGACAAGGATGCAGATGACGATGAAGATTGAATGCTACAGTGAGATGGTTGTTATGAGTACAACAGTTGGTTCTGCTTCTACTTCAACTTCAACTTCTTCTTCTTCTTCTGTTTCTAGCTCTGCCTCTCCACCTATAGTTCTACTTCTACCTCTACTTCTACTTGTTCTTCCTCTTCTTCCTCCACTTCTATTTCTGTTGCTACTACTACGGCTACGGCTGCGGCTGCTACAGCTGCTGCTACTGCTACTGCAACTGCTACTGCTAACACTTCGTGTCAGGATGTTCGTGGGTAATCCAATACAGACTCGTGGTCAAGAGATGCTGAGCAGCGGGTATGCCCAATTTTGTCCATTGACAGCAGCATGGCGTGTCGCGGTGCCGACACAATGCAATTATCGCGTGGACCTGTGCTGGTATGGCCTAGCACGTCGTTCTGTCTGGCATGAAAGGCTGCCCAGCCACTGGCTGCCCAGTAGCAAAAGGCTGCGCAGCCACCCTGACTCCGTCCTTTATTGGAGTCTGCTAGCGCCGTCGTGGAGGGGAGGGTGTGGCCATCAGCATCTGCTAGTAACAGCTAGTATGTTGAGTGTATGCGATAGACTTGTAACTAGCATTCATGATGAAGACAGAATCCAACGAACGAGGCAACAGAACAAAAGGTAACATCGACCACGACGACAACGACGTGCCTCGTCCCCTCCTCTCCTTGCTCGGCCGTCCGCTTTTGCCCGCGCATGATCATCAAAAATATTGCAACGACAACGGCACCCTGAATTTTCAACCACACGGGCAAAAAAATCTGGACCGATATCCTCTGAACTCTGACACCGTCCTCTGCAACTGCCCATTGACTTTGCGAGGCTTCAGGTGCAACTCCGCCTGCGGCCTCGGGGCGGTTGTGCAGGTCTACTGCTTTAGGTTCAAGACTTACAGTCATCCAGTGGGTCTCGTTGTGACGCCCAACACATAAGAGGAAAGCAGTCTCAGCTCATAGCCTGCCATTGCAAACCTGGCTGAAGAAGCGGAGCGTAGGTTACACAAAGAAGCAGCATGCACAGCGAACTCCGAGAGTATGCCAAGAGATGCTGGGAGTGCCAAAGAGCAGGCAGAGGCCGACGGGGCTCATTCTGACCTCAGCGAGATGTTTCCTTCAGCCGCTTCGCCGCTCTCTCCGCTCTCAGCTCCTGAGCGCTTGGCATCCACGACACTATGGAAATATGGAGGTGTTGGGCAGTAGACCTCAGCCGCCCAGCAAAGGGAATTTGCGCAACCGCCCCAAAGCCATCAGTCGCCAAGGTGCTTGTCGAGACCTAAGAAGTGGAAAGACAATTCTCTTGCTTCAGTATTTCGCTGCGACCCGGTGGCAGCCAGGCAACAACACCAAGACGACAGAGCAGAACAGAACGGATTGGATAGTCAAGCCGCTCTGGGCCCGAACGGGCTGCTGCATGCCAGAGGCAACCCTAGCATTGAGCCCACAGGCTGCAAACACACGGCTCAGACCAAGCACTAGCCACAAAATGTGCTTCTATGCGGCATGCCGCGGACGAGGATGCCGGCCAATGCCAATGATCGTCAGAGCTTACACACGTCGGCAACAGCTGATGAAGAAACTCCGCACAAGCGGCTTCTATCGAGCGAAGCCAGCTTTCCGCAGGATGCAAGCGCAACATGCTGCCACCTCTGCAGCCCCTGTTGCCAGGCCGGCACTCTTGCAGAAACGCGATCAACACAAAGTCACAAAGACGAAATGAGTGCAAGAAGCAGTGCTTCGGTGTGCTCTGCCGTTGTTGCTGCGGTGGCGTCTGGGCGCTTTAAGTTTCATGATCAGGCCTGTTACCGCTGGATCAAATCCATAGTAAATCTGCCGTCGTAAGCTCACAGAATCAGAAGGCTTCATCATCGCCATACTAAGCTTACACCTTGCCTCGTTGCTCTTTCTTTCCTTGCATGGTGCTACCCGGCAAGTTCGTGGCTAGTTTCTGTGCCTTTGCTTTGTGGGTAACCTGCTTCCCTCGACATGAAGTTCCGAAAGATGCCCATGCTATGCCATGCTATGCTACTGCTTGTGTTTCTGATTTTAGCGCTTTGCTTATGTGGTCTCTGATGCTTTCTTTGACGGACCCGCCCGGGCAGAGATGCATGGGGTGGTGCAGGCCGTGCTCATTTCCTGGTGCTGATCTGTATGCATGTCTCTTGTTTACAACTGGTTGTTGAAACAGAGGGCGTGGCTTTATCTAATCTGTCCGGTTTAGTCACGAGGCCTTACAAGCGGCAGCTCTTTCTGGAAAAATGTATGAACAGGCTTCAAGACTCTCCATGCCGCGCCGATGTTCGGCTGGCGGTGCACCAGGCTCTGAAGGCCTACGAACTCACGCTGTTCAATGGCCTCGGAGGAGGGGGAAGAACAGTGGACAGTCGGCTTGAGATCCTTCTAGGAAGGCAGCTGTGCAGGAAACCAGCGAAAGATTGCACTGAGTTGAGGTTCAAGAACAAAGCCACGCTGGCAAAAGCTGTGGCAGCACCCAGGTTGGTCGAGTAGCTCAGATATCCAATCATTCCTCCCAAACAATAAAAAGCACTGAAAGCCAGGAACACTAGCAGCGTCTGCAGGTAGTCCACGAAGACCCATCTGCCGGAACACGTCCACCAATGCAGGTTACAGAGGTAGAATAAAAATCTGATGCTCAGGTACCACCAACAAAGATGAATACCCAGCGTGTGGCCCACCACATATGACAGCAGGGACCTCCACGGAGCCCCTGCTCGACAGAGTCCGACAAAGCCCTCAAGGCTTGCGCTTAAGGGTGCAGTAGCTAGCAATGCGACGTAGATTCTCGGCACATTTGTTCTTGTCTTCAAGAGCTCCTTTCGGAGATCTCCACGGACGTACTGCGTAAAGGCATTCGTGCTACCATACCAGGCAATGATGGCCTCGTGCACAAAGTCCCTGTCTGCTGCAACACTGCAGTCAGCAGCATTTAATTCAAAGTTTTCCAGTTCCAGAACCACTAGCTGCCTCAAATAGAAACTCCTGCGCAGCGCATGTGTGACGAAACAGAGAGGGGATATTGCGACGAAGTACGCAGAGAGATTGACGCTGTCTGCAATCGTGACCAGCCACATCACCACGGAAAGAAAGTAGGAGCAGAGAAGCAGCAAAACCTGCATCCATCCCATGAAGACAGGAGCCAGCACCACCCTTCCCGAAGAGTTCAGGGCCGCAAAAGCTGCGATCTCGAAGACACACCACAGCCTGTAGAAGACGACCCCAAAAATTCACTATGAACTTACTCGTGCACCTTTTAACCCCAGTCAATCTACCCGTGAAGCAGCAAAGTGGCCTGGTGAAGTACGGCGAGCTCCAAAGCACACGCAGCTCTTTGGACATTCTCAAATAAACTCCAAGGCCATACACACCACGGCGCGTCAAGTCTGGATCTTCCTGATGGATGCAGACCTGAGAGCCAGAGAGCCAGGGAGCCTCAAGACCTCGAGAGAACCTGAGAAGGGGCCCCACAGCTCTAGACTCTAGACTAAAGTACTACCGATTCAGACTGCTGAGATCCTGAAATACTCCTCATACCTTACGATTTCACTCTGCTCCTGATTCCCCGTGCCTTGTCCAGAAAGCAAGACTCGTCTCGCCGTAGCAAGCCAGGCGCATGAGGCGAGGCGATCAACCCAAGAAGTGAAGCCACCATGCCAGAAAGGATGATCCAAGGACCCATCGGAGTCACGGCCTGACAACAGAGTTTCCGGAAATGCAGGTTTGCCCCTTACGGGGCCTGCTGTGACCATGCTTTGTGAAAGTAATCGCTGGCCTCGAATTTTAAGACCCGGGTGGTGGGCCCAAAAGGCAAAGGGACAACTCCCAGACAGCAGAGCAGCGTCATCGTTGAGCTCACCACGGCCCAGGCTGCCAGGGAGCAGGAACTCCCAGTCTCAAAGAGAAGAGCCAAGTACTTCCAGTGCCCGGCCGTCTGCCAGGTGTGCGAGAAGAAGACGTCGATCTCTTCGGTAGGCTCGGATTGCTCCCAGAGTTGGAGTCTCTGCTCCTCTCTCTCACTTCAAGGCTCTCAAGACAGCTCGGCTCGGCAAAGCTGAGCTCTCCTTCTGCATGTCGATGGGGGAGCTTCGCCAGAGACGACCGCCACCTTTTCCGGGCCCACATTGAACGACAGCTTTGCCCCTTTCTCTCAGCTCCCGACCTTTCAGGGTCGATCGGAGCCGGACGCTCCGCAGCATCCTTGGCAGCGCGCAGAGACGCCCAGAGACTCCCGCGAAAAACACTCCCGCGCGCCCCAGCTGGGCCCTGGCTGCGGCCAAGCATCTCGGGGTCAAGGCTGAGACTCAGGGCAGAGGACTGCCGCGTGTTACCCTGGCAGATGTGCTGCTATGTGCTGCCGCTCTGCTGCTGCTCTAGGCTCTATAGGGCTTTAAGGACCTAACGATGCACCTCCAAGGACATCTCATGCCGGACCTTGCCAGCTTCTGCTTGACCACGTGGCTCCTCCCAACTCGTTGGGTCCACTCGTGGGTCCTCGGCCCCTGTCTTTACGTCGAGGCGTCCGACATCCTCATCTTCCTCACAAAGGCTCGCGTGCCCTTTAGATTCCATTCGTATTGAACACTGTTATACATCCGCCTGCTCAGTGACGATTGCCTGGACTTTAACGGTCTCCATCTCTGTTTCTGCCTGCGCAGGCCAGGTTCTCTTCTAGGCCCGGCCTATGTCAAGCAAGGGATCATGCTGCCAACTTCAGCCTGCTGCCGGCAGCAGCTCTGGTCGTTGCCCATAGCTATGGCCACGCACAAAAAGCGGAGAAGCAGTGAGATGGAGTGATCTAGAGCTAGCAAACTGGCACAGGTTAAAGTTAGAAAGGCCTTGGCCCGAAAAATGGTCTTAGTGTGCACAACCGCCATTTGGTGCACATCTTTCTGCTGCAGATACTGAACTGCCAGAGACCTGGAAATCCTTTCAAGAGCTTCACAGGAGCGTGAAAAGCTACAGCACCATTCAAGGGAAGCTCAAGCAACTAAGGCATAGCAACAGAATTGCAAAACGAATGGTAGACCTGCAGCATGTGAACTTCCGCATGCTCCTTCTTTTTTCATGAAGGATCATGCAGGGAAGCCCACCGAACTTGAGTGGCCCATCGAAACTTAGTCTGCTCCTTCCTTCGAAAACATCGAAGCCGGAGCAGAGGAACGCCAAGGGCAGTCGGCCTTCTTCATTCTGTCTTCTGCGCAGCTGCTGAAGCCTCAAAGACATGTTAGAGACTTAGAGAACGACAGGTACCAGACTGAAGAGATTGCCATGTCACGCTCACTCCAACTGAGGGCGTTGCGTAGCGTGATTCCAGCATCTCCGCCTAGGTACCATGAAAACATGCGGATTGCAGACAGTGGTGAGACTGTGCAGCCACATCTTGTGGTGTCAGGTTCGGGCTACTTGCAGGGACCCCAGAATCAGGATGCCTCCAACAGCTGCCTGCCGGAGACTGGCGAAGGCTAAGACCAACAGCTCTTCAGCTCGCACACACCTGTCTCTCTGACCAAAAGCTCTTGGGCCTGCCTGGAAGCCGGGAAGCCCTTCCTCAGCAAACGGCCAAACAGTTCAGTGAAAAACGTCGCAGCACACGAAAACGTGCATTCCTGCTGCCACGGGACCCCAAGCAAAGCAGCAGCCACCACACCGGACCTGAGCCGGCTTCTCACCTTTAACCCGTGCTTCAAGTCTTCCACCATGCACGAGGCGTTGGAAGCCCAAACCCTGGCCCAAAATAAAGCCAAGCTGTTTCAGGAAACCTTGCCCCACTCTTGAGTTGGCGCCAGCAGGTCTTCTGAGTTGCCTGCAGAGTCCCGAAATGCATTGCCTGACAGTTCTGGCTTCTAGGTATTGAGGCTGTACGGACAGGCATGAAGGACACGGGGCTGGAAGAATTCGAGTGTCAACGGACAATTGAAGTTGTGACTTTGTTGTTTTAGCTGATGCCTTGTTTTTGATGATAGCTCACTTCTAGCCACGGCATCACAGGTTGGAGCATCAACGAGCAAGTACAGTACACAAGTTCACACGATCCACGCAAACACGAGGGACGTTTGGTAATTTTGGTCATCTTGCTGGCCATGGACCCATACCACTTGACCACTTGCACCACTCGCCCCCTCGGATACCACCTGCACCACTTGCACCCCACCGATTGCCAACCAAGATTCCCCCGCCCGTCCGCCCGTCCGCCCGCCCGCCCGCCCCTCGCGCGCGCCCCTCCCGCGCGCCCGCCCGCCCGCACCCCCTTCTCCGCCCCCCTGCTCGGATACCAATTGCACCAGTTCAATCACTTGACATGCGCGCCTACGAATACGAATACGAACAGTAACTTCTCACCCTGAACCGCTGGGGGCGCGAGGCGTGGCTAACACTAACACTATCAATATTTGTACTTGTGCCAAAACAAATACTCATACCAGTACATAATTGATACTGATAATGGATACTGACACGAATACTGATGCTGATACTGATACTACTACCAGCACTACTACTAGTTCTAATACAAATGCGAGCAAATACTAATGCTCATACCTATACTAACTGCTAACCCTAAACCGATGCGGAGCCGGGCACGCGTAAGACTACTAATAATAATACACTGACTACTAACCCTTTCAATAACCCCCAAACCGATGCGCGCGCCGGCCGCATGTAACACTAGCACTAACACTTATGCTCATGCTACTACTATTCCGAATACTAAAACTCACCGCAACTACTAACCCTCAACCCCTAAACCGATGCGCGGGCCGGGCTCTGCGTAGCACTACTACTATTAGTACTAATACTAATAATCATACTAATACCAATACTAACTACTAACCCTAAATCCAGAAACCAATGTACGTGCCGGGCGCGCGTAAAACTCATATTAATACTAGTACTAATACTAACACTAACAATAGTACTACTAACTACCAACCCGAAACACTTAAACTGATGCACGCGCCGACCAGGCATAACCTTAAACCCTAAACCCTAAAACCCTGAACCACAAGCAAAGCCCTAAACTAATACTAATACCAATGCTAATACTAATCCTGAAACTGCGGCCTATATGAATACTACTACGAATACTGAGAGTACTGCTAATACTAATGCTCGTACTGATACCAATCCTTTTTTACTACTAATAAATCTTATATTATAAGTACTAAACCTAAAAACACCTAATACTAATAATACTCATACTCATACTCGAATACTAACACTAGCTGCTAACCCTAAACCGCTGTGCGCTGCCAAGTGTGCGCAACACTAATACTACTAATGTTTATCCTACTACAGATACTGATACTAATACGAATACTGATACCGATGCCGATACGGATGCTGGCACTAGTACTACTACTAATACTAATTACTAACCCTAAACCCCTAAACCGATGCGTGCCGGGCGCACATAACGCTAATACTACTACTCTATCAACACTTTTACTAATACTGGTACTAATACTAATACGTATACTCATGTGCCAACTACCTGGCCCTATACCCTTAAACCGATGAGTGTGTGCCGGGACTAGTACTAATACTAGTTACTAGTACCAATACAAATACTGGTACGAATACCAATACTCCAGTACAAATGCTGACGCTAAAACTAACATAATACTGACTACTAAATTGGCAACTGGTGGAAGTGGCATTAGTATCCGACGAGAGGGCGGGCGCCATTTTGGTAATTTTTGTATTCTTGGTTCGCCAGCAGTGCAAGTGGTGCAACTTGTGCAAGTGGCATCCGTATCCGAGGAGCGCGTGGTACAAGTGGTACAACGTGTTGCAAATGCTGCAAGTGGCATGGGCCCGCGGCCACAATTAGCAAAATTCCGCGCCGCCTCCCCGGCCTTAAAAAACCAAGAAACCAAAATTACCAAAATTACGCGTGATTTTGTGATTTCACTCGCTTGGGCAAAGGCGGCGAAATGACACGTCATGTTGCCGCCCCCCACTCTGTGCGAAAGCAAGATGACCAAGATGCCCAAAATGACCAAAATAACCCAAATTGCCAAAATTGCAACAATGTCAGTGTTACCCAATGACCTGAAGGAAAGGGGTTCTAGAATGCCAACACGTAGTAGTAGTAGTAGTAGTAGTAGTCGTCGTCGTCGTCTGAGAGGACCACGCCTATCACTGCGGCTATGGCTGTCACTGCCGCTTCCGCTTCCGCTACTGCTGCGGCACTGCTACGGCTACCGCTGCTTCTGCTGCTGGTGCTGCTGCGACAACTACTGCTACTATACTCACACCATGTTACGCGTCGCACTGTTAGTGCGAATCGCACCTTTCTGGTGATAAGCCTAGTTAACGCAAATCAGTCGAGCCCTGCAGCATCGGCAGTACGAATTTGTGCTGGCGGCTGGTGACTTTCAAACTGCCTCGCTGATCCAGCTCGCAGGCAAAAGTGGTCCCGTGCTGCTGTACTGTTCCAAGATAGTGACACGTACTGGCACCAAGGCCTCATACTCCGCAGCATGTCGTCATGGACACTAGTCCACGACACTACATGCACCTCCTGAGCATGACTTCCTGAACCCTTCCAAGACCTGCACATCTAAAGTTCGGGAGTGTTCAACGGCCCTATACCCAAGGTGCCTGCGTTCCCGAAGCAGCGGGCAGCCGTGTCAGGCCCCGCGCCAGAAAGATCTGAGCCACAGGCGCTTTCGGCTTTTCCCCAGGCAGAGAGCCTGACCTAGCCTGACCCTGCCTGGCCCAGCTGGGTGCAGACTCCGAGCGCCAGCAGCCAGACCTGAGTCCAGGCCCCCCCGAGGCCTTTTGGCCCAGGACCCTTTCTGCGAGGCGCCGGCCCAAACTGCCGGCTCGCGGCCTTCCTGGAGGCCAAACCTGCTTCCGCACTAATACAAAGCACACTTTGCACATGGAACTTCATGGACCTGTAAGACTCGGACCATGCATCCTTGCAGCAGAAGGGAAGCGAGACCTGCGAATCTTGGCAAAAAAACCGGAGGAAGCCGAAGCCTGCATTCAGCGGCTCCGTGTGCTCAGGGCGGGGCCACAGGAAGAGCCAGCAAAGTCCACATCTCGCCCTCGCCGGGACGCATCCAAGTCCAGGCTTTGTGCTTGCAGAGCCACCCGGCTCCTCCTGGCTGCGCCCGAGGGATCTGACACAGCAATACGCAGCACCTGGCGAGCAACAGGCTTCTGTTCATTGGCTCTGCTCAACTGGGCGATTCGCCAGCCCAGGACCCTGCAGGCTAACGAGCTCGCGGACCTGTAAGGCATCCTGCCTTGGCCAAGGCAGGGAATCTTCCCACTACATGTATGATCTCCCTGGCGTGTCGCGAGACCCTGTTGCATTCTATTCACCACATCACTCCGAATCTGAACCCCAGAAGCTCGACCCACATCGAGAGACCGGGGAGCATGCGAGCAAGGCCAGGGTCGGACCCAGCAGCGTCCCCGACACCAGGCCCTGTGGCATGCTGCTCATTGCCGCTCCCTTACAGCCTGCGTGCCTTTTAGATGCCCACGTTGCATTACTGCTACGACCTTACATGCACCTCCCAGGAGGGCTTGGCAATGAGCCTCGGAGACTCTGATGCTTGTCCCGGGCCCCACTTGTTCGGATTTCTCAGGGCCACACCCCACGCCCAAGATGGAGACTCCGATGCTGATCCCCCGGATGCTGCTCAGTCGTTCACCTCATCCATTGTTCACACTTCAGTGCAGGGACTCGGCAGAACCTACTAGTAAGTTACTAGTAGAAGGCCTTCGCCTGCGCCTCTGACATCCCTCAACACGTGGTGGGGTGGCCCATACTGCGCAAAGGTACTGCAAAGGTGTATACTGAGCCTGGCTGGCGCCTGAGTTCATGGCCCAGGAACGCCCAGGACAGCAGCGACGCAGAGGTTGGATGCACCTGGCGAGGAAGCCAACCACGACCTTTGCCGTGCTCCGCAATGTCGCCCAGGGCCTTGCCAAGGAACACTGCCTGCAGGGTTTAGGGCATCTCAAGACACGATCGGAAGAATAGACTCTGAAGAAACCCCCTGCGCTGCGTGCCTCTGCAAGCGGTGTTAACTCGATTGCTTCAAGATAGGCCTGGCATTCAAATCCGGTTGCAGGAGGAGTCGCTACAAGC